AACCGAACAAATTACTCAAAAGAGTCGGGGGACAAGGAAATAAGATTTTAATACCTGCGTATGTGTTGTAGCCGCCATTCACTCTGTCGCCACGTGCAGAAGGCATGAGTAAGATCCCTCTCTCGGGAGGTTTTTCTTTATCGAGTATGTGACTACTGAGACGTTGCCAAGATTACCTTAGTAAGCAGGATTGGAGCAGCCTGCCTTCTTACTTACTTTTTACTTTTAATTTTTCCTCCTCTGTTGCCGTGAGCGTCGAGGGGAGATGTAGTTTTCTATTGTAGGCCAGCTCCGCATCTGTTTCTGTTGTGCTATTATTTTTTCTCGGGGTTTCCTTGACACCCTCGATCCACCTTTTGCGTGGCCTTCCTCTTCCTTTATAGTCTGATTTTTTTGTGTGTTGTAGGCTCTCGATGCTGGCTGGCCAGGTGACATACGTAACAGGTGACCAAACCATTTTATTTTCTGTCTTTCTATGTGCAGGCAGAGCTTAGTGCCAATAGCTGCTCTTACTTCTTCATTTCTCTGCCTGTCTCTTCTTTGTGATGTTAAGGATTTTGCAGAGACATTTCATTTCGCATGCAGTGATTTTGCTTTCATGGGTTTTACTTAGTGTCCAGGTCGGGCACTGGTAGCAATGTTGGTATAAGTATTGAGCCTGCCTTCTAAATGGTCTAATATTTATTTTAGGTTATTCAACACTTCCATTATTCTAATTGATTGTAGATGGCTTATGTTTCTATCAACACAATTAAAAATCTAAAATTTAAAGTTAATATCTCTATTGACTTTTTAAAAAATGTTGTTTAGTCGTGTATTCAAGGGTGGCACTATGGTTGTGGGAAGGTAGAGCGTATGCATGGTCAAACTACCACCCGCGGTCCACATGGGGCCTTGCGAGCGATTTCAGTAGGCCTACGAGACGACCCAGTTATTAATAATATGCGATGAATGATGCCCGTTGTGACTTAATATTTTTTATAGGAAACTCTCCGTCTCAAAAATTATAATTGATAACATTATTATGATGCACAACTGGAAGCAATGGGCATAATAATTATCTTATCTCATGAAATGTGATTGACTCATTGACTGGCATAATGAAGCAATACTGTCAGTTTTAGTCTCGCTTTCAAGAGCTTTGATACTATCGTTTAATTCTGCCCACGATTTGAACTCTCTTGTTAATGCCTGGTATAGTGGCCTACATATTATCACCAGCTGCTGCAGTGCAGCGTTTACAAATAGGAAATCGAAGCCTTAGATTTCTGTATTATTCAGGACCATCCTTCCTCCCTCCCTCCCTTTCGAGCATGTCCATGAACGCCCAGTTCCTGCAGAGAGGTGCACTCCGGAGGTGGCAGTCAGCAGCCACGCCGTTGTTGGTTCACTCCGGTTTGAAGAGGACAGCTTTTGTTGCTCATGGAAAAAGTAATCTTAGAAATTTTTTGAATGTCTGATACAAACTTTGTACATAATTTTTTTTGTACGCCTTCATTTCTTAAAATAAATAGAAATGTTTTGTTTTTGACGCTTAAAAAAGTAAACATTTAAAAATGTCTTATTCAATTTGTTTTAAACGATGACACACCTTATCCGCAGAGTTAATATTTCAGATATTAGAGTTTTCGTTTAGATACATAAAAATTGTTAGAATAATTTTTAAAATCTTACACAACATAATATCAAACATAAACGCGCATAAAAAGATCAGAGAGACATAAAGATAATCTGAGTTCATGACGCGTCCAAAGGGAAGTAAGCCGTGTTATTTATTAAGGGCCAAAATTTTAATGGATTAGTGCCCCTTGATCATTATCCGTCTGCCTCAAACATCAATATTTCCTCTACAGTTTAAGTTACAGGCATTCAGTAGTTAAGACGAGGAGAGATTTTCTCTTGACTTTGTATACAAGCACGACGAAATGGGTATCTCAAAATTGTGTATGTCTGAGAAAATACTATATCCTTCTTCTTCTCTTTTCCTTCTCCGCTTTCCTCCCTCTCCTTCTCTCTCCGTCCCTCTCCATCTCCCTCCCTTCTCTCCCATTTTTCTCTTCCACACCACCCTCTCTCTCTCTCCCTCTCTCTCTCTCTCTCTCCCTTCTCTCCCTCTCTTCTCTCCCTCTCTTCTCTCCCTCTCTCTCCCTCCTTCCCCCTCTCTCTCTCTCCATCTCTCTCTCTCTCTCTCTCTCTCTCTCTCTCTCTCTCTCTCTCTCTCTCTCATACCCTCTCGCAAAACCTCCCCAGTGGAGTCATGGATAAGCTCTTCGCATTGTACAAAAGATATGAGTTCGATTCCCATGCATAGAAGAATATATTTAAGTCATCGAGTTTCTGAAATATCTTTCAGTTGGAGTACAGCATCTAGTACATCCAGGCCTGGCATAAGCTCGAAGTAGCCCGCCTCTTCAAAAAACCTAGATCGTGTCGATGAAAGTGTAAAACACTTTCAACAAAAAGACGGTGTTGCTATAAAACAATAAAACAAGAAACCAGATTCATATTTATATTGTATTTTATTATAATATGTATAACAGGTTGGGCATAAAATATCAACATAAAATAATCAGTATAATACAAAAAGCGGCAGCTCTATCTTATAGGATACAATCTAAATAGCAGGGCACTTCAAAACACCCAATCAACAGATCTCGTGGGAAATTGACAACGCAGGCAGACAACCTCTCGATATGGACCGAAATCCTTTGAGATTTATACAGAAGAGCGATAGTTATACCGCGTGAGTGTTCAGCTGTCTTTAAAAAAAGAGAGAAAGATGGGCAGAAAGTTAGACCCTCACAGATTATAAAACTTGATACTTAGCAATAATATACTATGGTTTGGTGTGGGTTTTACTTTCCTTTTGACAAACGAAAAGTTATTTAGGAAGTGAGACCTCCAAATTTAAATGTATGACAATCTCCGAAGGGCCAATCATGGTGAGTGAGGAGCTTTTTAAAAAATCCCAAACATTCTGAGTTTAAATGTGCTTACAATAGACTTGTGTTGAGGACAAAATGTTCTAGCCCAGACAACATTTTAGCTCGTTTATACAGAATGTCATTTTGTTGTGTGAACTACTCTCCCCCTCCCCCCCCCCCAACCCAAAACGTAGTTAGTGAGTCTCATTACGCTTGTGTGTGTATATATATATATATATATATATATATATATATATATATATATATATATATATATACAGAGAGAGAGAGAGAAAGAGAGAGAGAGAGAGAGAGCTAGAGAACTAGAGAGACTGACATGCTCCTGCTAAAAGCTCTACCCTTCACGACAGACCATGTCGCTGACTCTATCGCAGGGCGTGTCACAACTAGATCTAACTTTGTTTTCTACATGAACGTAGAACGGTTAGTTGTTGTTGTTGTTGTTTTTAGGGAAAAAATATTTTTACAACACCTGCATCACTATCCCCTTTGTCAAAAAACAAAAAGAGTAAAAAGTATCACGCTTCCGCGCTCCCCCACGTTGTCAATTTATAGTCTCTCCCCCCCCCCCCCCTATTTCCTCCTACTCCACCTACTACATAATTTATTCTTTAAATAACAAAAAAAGTCCCAAATTAAACTATAGTTGTTTTATTAAAAACATCATTAAAAGTAAACCACTCTCGAAAAAATTGAGCTGTAACGAAGGCAGCTCGCTATTATTATGAAATTAAACACAATAGTCTCATAATGCTTTTTGTTTGAGTCTATCTCTATTTATTGATAACACCACCTTCATCTTAACTTTACTCCCCTTCTCCCCCAATTCTTCCCGCAGGGACAGTGATATTAAAGCTGCATTGATGAATTAAATGCACTTTGAGGGTGTATCCTGACACTGTTTCATTTCTATAACGTGAAAAAAGAATATACTTAGAGAAGCATGTCGTTTTCACTGGGACGTCAATATAAAACAGATATGACAATTTACGTTGATTTGTAATACATGAATTATATGCTTCTGTACATTGCTTTTGGTTACAGTGCATAGTTTGATCATAGCACTCACTGAGCAAAATGTAAATCGAACTAAGTATAATATTATAGTATGGTACTGAAAGGGTAGAAGCCCTTTATCAAACTTGAACTAACTGTAAAAGGCTTTTATTACACAAAGCGTGGATCCAAGGCAACCTCTCTTGTACAATTCACTAAACTTCACCCTATAAACAATGTCGGAGATAATATTATAAGCTTAAAATAATATCGCTATGCAAAAAAACTGCACGAATCGAACTCTACTGATAACATAACGTAGAAAAATAATATAAATCATAACATAATCTCAGGTATAGTAGGGACCTTGCTATAATAAAAAGGGGAATATATTCTGCATTGAATGAATGCACCATCATCACAAATGGGCATTTTTTTTGTGGTTGTTTTCATTTCAGACTGTCCAATTTCTCAAGAGTCTCCGGAGCGTCGAGTCGATATGTTCATGAGACGGAAACGAAAACCAGAACAATTTTTTACATGTATTTACATTATGCAGTGGGTGGTGATAGAAGTTAGGGCAGACAAGGAGAGAACAAGTTACTCTTTTTTTCTCTCACACCTATCTCCAAGCAAGCACACACACACACACACACAGACACACACACACACAAACACACACACACACACATACACATACACACTCACACACACACACACACACACACACACACACACACACACACACACACACACTAACAAATACACAAACAAACAAACACGTACTCTGACAATTAATACAGAATGTTACAGATAAATCCTTGAAAGGGCCGATCAAGACTCTGGGGGTAAATACAAGAGTCGTAATTATAATATAAAACGAGAAATACAGCGCTGAAAAATGCACAATACCTTACACAACCAGTCTTCAGAATAATACACAGTACAAGGTTAGCCCTTATACACAGAGGCACGGGCAATGCTCGGGCCTGTAGCAGCTTGATGTTGAAGTCTCGTACATAAAGGTAACGTTACACAAACGTCGAACTGCAGCGTACTGTTAGCGTTTTACTTTATTAGATCTATATACAGTGAGCGCGTGCAATTATGTATACGTGCGCGGAGTGACAAAGACTCACGGAAGGCAGGTAGTTGATGGTGAGGGGTACTGTACAGATGAAAGACACATGATGCACAACACGACAAAAGGGGAATTTGGGGCGTGGGGGGAGATGGGGTTGGGTTGGGTTGGGGGGGGGGGGTGGAGTGTGGGGTGATTTCTTCAAAAGAAGCCCATGAAAATAACGTTATTGTCACATCAGATATTAGCCAAAGTATAAAAAGTCAACGTGTATAAATATTGTTGGCAACTGTCAACGACAATCACAACTGACAGATGGAAATACGTGAGGTTGGCAATAAAAGCACTTAGGTAAACAAATACTCATAGAAAAGAAGCCAACAACAAACAATTACAGCATTATATTGACGATCAGTCTTGAAGACATACAAACAATCCACACCCAAAGCTGGGGGGAAACATTATTGACAGTCAAGCCAGTTTCGCTTGTCAGTCATGGAAAGGTGAACATCGGTTACACAACTCGATGGCAACCATAACAAGGAGTAATAATGATATTGTTGTACAGTGCTATACAATAGCATGAGTGCCGCCACGGCATTCTCAAAGGGCACATTACATAATGCTCAGACGTCAAACTGGAATAAATTCTTTACTATATAAATAAAAACCAATAACTCGAGCTGATTAAATCTGTCGTTGCTGAATAAATTACGTATATAAGCAAGATGTGCATATTGGTAATATTAGTATATGCATCCGGCATTGTATAAGACACGTGTGGTACCTGAAGGTGATTTTTTTAAAAATAAGTTGAAGGCAAGGTTTATAGTAAAACAATGATCATACTGAGTCGAGACAATTTCACGATGGGACAAAATAGAGACATGTGTCCGAATACAAGTACGTACATGTATAATGTCCCCGTTCACCGAGTAAAAAAGTGAACATTTTGACACTGCCTCATCGTCGCTGCTTGTTAACAGTACGTCGCCTTGGAATGAAAACGTCGTAAGTCCAGTTTTTCGTAATATATGTGTAATAGAAAAAAAATTGCGGCTGTCCCTTTTCAGTAGAATATATCAATGCTCTTTGCAATGGCAGCGTAAGGAACATACTGATGTCTTTAACACATTCTCGTCCTTTACTTAGTGTTGTAAAAGGTTCCATACATCATTATATCTTACTACAGTAATGGTAAGGTACTCCTTAGAGTAGACTAAAAGGAAATTGTTACTAACTGAAGAGGTCTGACTTACAACCCGACCAGTCCAAGGAGGCGATTAACTTAGCTAGAAATATAACTGGAGATGCTACCTTGTGCATGCACACAGCACTCCTATCCAATTGATTTACGTCGCTACCGAACCTTTAATAACAATTTTATTACATTCATATCCACCAACCAGATTTTAAATTGAATTTTAAAAGGACAAAAAATGAGGGCATAAATATATCTACGTTTACTAATAATATCATGACATGTACTCTACAACAGTGCTATTTTCACTTGTCCATGTTTTGATAGACAACTTCGTACGCGCGCGCAAAGCTTGCCGCTGGTTTGTTTGTTGTTGTTTTTTTCTTTGTTAAAGAAATAAATGATCAGCGTATTTGTACAATAATTCCTAGATCTCAGATATGAAAAACCCAGTGAGGTCATGTGACTCACAGAAGGAAATCTGATCGTTTTACAGCCATTTAGATTTGATTTGGGAGAATGAATCAGAGAGAAGTATGGTGGTGGTGGTGGTGGTGGTGGTGGTTGTGTCGTGCTGGTGGTGAGCTAGTAATGGTTGTTGCTATGGTAGTTGTGGTACTGCAGGTAGGAGACAATCGGAAGAGTTCAGTTCCATCATAGACTATTCTAACAGCAAATGAGCAGAACCGTGAAGCTGACTTCCGGCAGAAACCACAATCCACTTAAAGTGTAGTTCATCAGGTCACTACACACAACTGCAAAGTTTAAAAGTTTAAAATAGACTTAATGCTTTTCGTAAGGGAACTGGGGGCCAAGCAATATAGTTATAACAAATTCAAAATCGTGCACCGTGTTCTGCAAGCAAAAAAAAAAGAACATAAACAAAAACAACCCCCCCCCCCAAAAAAAAAGCAAAAAAAAAACCCCCCCAATCCCAACTACACATTCTTTCTCTTAAGAAAAGGTTGACAATCGTAGCTATTTTGTACTCTGTGCGACACTTAGAAGTGATCTCAGCTCGTGCCAAATCGCCAGCATCACCCCTAAGCGTTGCTTTCAGGTCATTAAAACATAATAGTTAACGTTTGTTTAAGGCACAGCTGTAATAAATCATCAAATTTTCAGCAGTATAAATATACGAAATTGATTTTTAAAAATATCTCGAGTGTGTTGTAAAAAGGATGATTATTATACTTGGGTTTTTTTGAGTCTCGTGAATATACTCGTAGTATAAACAGTGAATTCTTACAACAAAATGTACAGTCATGCCAGATAGCAAGTCTTTGAGGGGATCAGTGTCTCTGAGGGATTCCACGTCAGCAGCCCATATCTGATATCCGATATGAAGTAGTACGTCTCTTTCGTCTATTCTTTACCTTTATGGAACTAGTGCACTGTGAAGATCCACTATAGATCCACTATCGAGAAACATGTCAGCTTTGCTCTCGTCTTTTTCTGCTTAGTCACGCAGCAGACACATGGAACATGGAGTCTATGTATTTTTCTTTAGCCGTACTGCGAGGGAATAAACAATGAGTAACACACAAAAACAGCCACACGGAAAGCTCTAGATGCTTTGTCTATGACCCCACTTGGTGTGTACCAACAGAGGTGGTCATCGTCCGTAAAAGCTTCGGTTGCTGTCACAACCAGCCTTCTACTAAGGTGGACTTGAGCATAGCTCTTCCTTTCCGCTCATCAATTACTGACCAAGGCTCCAGTACAGGGAGCCAGCTGTATGTGTGGACAGCTGAACTACCTGGCAGACCTCTCTGGTGGGCGCAGTTTCGCTCTGGCCCCTTGGTGTACAGATCTAAGTCTGTTTCCAGGGTCGTGATGAGATAGCGTGACAGCAGAGCAGATGAGCGCGCGAGGGACTGGTGTCTAACACAGCGGTCTCCGCTTGCGAGAGACAGAGAGATCCAGAGTCCGTGATGACGTGGTTTGAAAATCTACTACGCCTCAAGATCTGAAATCAGAATCCATCGTCATCTCTAGAACGTTAGTTTTTATTTGAGTTTTTAATTCACATCCTCACTTTTTATTGAGAGTAGAGGCTTTTCCCACGCCGGGGGATACTTTGACTTTGCTGAGACCCATTCTCTTGAAGAGGGATGGAGACCTTTTGGCTGCCTCCTCGCCGTCTTTCTCCTCCTTGTCCTCATCTGCCGCCTGCTCTGTGACAGTGGACAGAGACTGGTGGTGTTCAGGCTTGTGATGCAGCGGCGACTCCACATTCGCAGGGGACTTACGTCCACTCAACTCATGTGAAGTCAGGGTGCTCGGAGAAGATTTCTTGGGCAACCGGAGACTAGCGTGTCGAGTGAGACCTAGAGGAGAAGAAGCTGTTGTTGATTTGCTGCTCGCCGATTTTGTCCGGGGTGGGGCTACTGGGCTTGGGGAAGTCGAGTCAGAAATGTCTTTTTTGGCTTTGGAGGCGGCGGTGGGGGCCATGAAGGAGGAGGAGCTACGGCGTGACGCAGGCTTGACCCCGCTTGACCCCTCGGGGGACAAGAGAGGTGTTGTGCTACGTGCCCGCTCGCTCTGTGTCATGGGCGTTGTGCTTCTGGGTCGCTCCTGGACAAAGGATGGGGTTGTGCTGCGCTTTGTGCTGGCCTCATGTGAGAGAGGCGTCATGCTGCGGCGCCCCTCAGAAGGAGCAGATGTCGGGGTCCCGGCTGCGCTCCGTCTGGCTTCTGAGCCGCCCAGCGATGTTCTGGTGGACGTGACTCGCATGGACTGAGTGCGGGAGAAGGGAGACGATTGGCTGGTGTTACCTGGTGTTGGCGTCTTGGCGCGGGATGCTGCGGTTGTGGCTGTTGCTCGGGCTGAAGGGGTGGTGGGGCGGGAGGAGGGGGCGCTTATTGTGCTGGAACCTCGAGCAGAGGGAGTTGTAGGTCTCACAGACGCTGCGCTACCTCGAGCTGACGGGGTGGTGGGACGGCTGAGAGGTGTTCCTGCTGTGCCAATGGTCTGTCGCCGCTTGGAAGCAGAAGAGATATTGGAAGCCGTGCTGGTGGTGGATGAAATGCTGGCGTTGGAATCAGCCCGAGGCCTGCCCGATGTGCTCGTCGGAGTGGGAGTTTTCGCACCCATGCGCGTAGAAGCAGATGCTGCCCCCGTTGTGGTGATGGCAGTACTGCCCGTAGACTGTCTCATGGAGGAGCGTGGCCCCCGAACCGACGTCCTGGCTGTGGAGCCGCGCTGGAAAGACGCAGTGGCGCTCTCGGCTCTCATGGAGGCGCGCACAGAGACGTCCCGTTTGAAAATCGTCGTCGACTCTTTGTCTTTGTACGACATTCGCGTAGGCGTATCCCGATGGAAAGACGACGGGGTCGAGCCCGGGGTCGAACCCGGGGTCGAAGCGGAAGTGTCTGTGCTGCTGGTAGATCCGGCTCGCGCTCGACCTGCCCTGGTTCCGGCGCTGCTGCTGGTGGGCTTCATGTAGCTCGGGACCGATTTGGTTTTGGAAACTTTCGTAGGGTCTCTGGTCAAAGCTGACAGAGGCTTCTTTCCTGACACTGGTTCGTCTTTGTGTTTAACGGTAGAGGGAGAGGATTTGGGACCATTGGTGGTGTCGTCACTCCAGATGTCCTCTTTGGACGTGCTGTGACCGCTGTCTGGCGACAGAGCTCCAAACTCATTACTGGTGTCAGAGTTTGGATCTTTAGCTACCAGGACAGTTTGTTCCGTCCAGTTTTCAGTTCGCTCTTTTCGATTCACCTCCTCGGCCCCCATGGTCAGCCCAGGGATGGAGGTAGAGTCTATCACAGCCTTGTTGCTCGCAGAGTGAGCGACTTCCTCACCGGCCAACCGGCTCCTCTGGCCATCAGCTTTTCGAGGTAGAACTGGAGTGCCTGCGCTTATCAGCTCTGCGTCCAGTGTACTGCTCATGGACGTCCTCTGAGACATGGTGCCTGAAGCTGTCTCGAAGCCCTCATCTCTGTCATTGCTGCTAGCGTAGCTGCTTGCGTAGCTGCTGCGAGAACCCACCTCGTTCTTGAGGTCGTGAACCTCCGACTTCTGACTGCTGCTGTCGCTGCCGCTGAGCTCTAGCTCATGGACGTTGTCGTAAACGCTCCTCCTCTGCCTTTCCCGCTTCAGCCTCCACTTGGCCACAGCCGCCATCGGGTGGTCACTATCTTCATCCAGATGCTGGACTTTACTCCTGTCCATCAAACTGTAAGATCGACGGAAAGGAGAATTTTCCAGAATGCTTGTGCTCGCTGGACGAGGTGGCTGGCGAGCACGGGCGTCTACAGTCTCTGAAGTAGAAATTAAAGGTAGATCCCTCTTCACCGCACCCGTCACATTCCCCTCGCTTCCCTTTTCCGAGTCTCTCAGGCTAGACTGAGATTGGGAGGTCAGGGCCTTTCTGGCTTGCTCAGGAGACGATTCGATGTCGGCTTGCAACGTTTCTGTTGACGTGTTGGCCGACTTAAGACTGAGCTGGCTGAAACTCTTGGGACTATCGCTCTTTGAAGAGCGGCGGGTACCAAGGTCTTCAGGCCTTAGCTCAGTGTCACTGTCGTCACTAGGGATATATAGACCGTTCCTCCTGCCATCCATAGACAGGCGGCTTGTGCTATTCCTGAGAACAGCGCCCTTCTCGCGTTTGATGGCGTCGCTTGTAAAGTCGCCCTCACCGTTTAACCCTTTCTTAGCTACGTGTTCGTCAAACGATTTCGATCGACTCATATTGCCCTGGTTGGCAAACTCCTTCAGAGCTTGGTCAACACTGTCCTTTTCCACATTGCTTCGAGCGCGATTGCGGCTCTCAGCGTCTCCTCCATTTGAGGAGCCAAATCTGGCGTCACGGAATTTCTTTTTGGCTGCTAATTTGGCAGCTTTGCTCAGTTCTTTGGCGGGTGCTGCTGCTAGGTCATCTGCTTTCGACGGGCTCTCTCCTTGGTTGTGGCCCTGGGTGCGACGTGGACTCGGCGGGGTTTTTGCTGTCGACAAGCTGCTGTTGTTATGGCTGCTGTAGTGCGTATTTGTCTGGCTATCTACACCATGTTGAGATTTATTTACACTGTTCATACTTTCCACAAGATTATCCGACTCGGGCGTGTCTAGCTTCATCGCAGCTTTTACATCGTCCATGGACAAAGTGGACCTCTTTTTCCGTTTATCTCTCTTAGCTTTGAGATCTTGCTCGTTGATCGGAGTTATGGGCCTTCCAGTGGCAGTCACGTGGGCTACAATTGCCACCTGTGGCTGGGTGGTGGGCGTGGATGGTGTCGACTTGGTCTCGGACACTTCTGGTGTCCGCTTCATAGGCCCTGAGACCCCAACTGCGTCAATGGGCCGTCCCGTGGCCTCGATGGTCTTGAGGACCTGGTCGATCTTTGTCCCCATACCCCGGCTGATCTTCTCCCGCACCGAGACGCTCACACTAGGTGACGTCATGTCGGAATCGTCTTGTGTCCGCGACGGTTTTGAGTCACTTTCGAAACTTTCGAGGGCTCTATTAACTTCAGCGGGTTCCAAATTGCTGAACCTTTTCGAAAAGCGCCCTCGAGGTTTAGTCAGACCAGGGGTCTCGCTGTACGCTGACTTTATAGAAGTGTCCAGCACCGCTGTGGGACTGCGCTCCGTGATCGGCTCCAGTGGCGAGCTGGTCTCAGACACAGAGATGCCACTACGCCATCTGGAGCTGCTCCGGGAGTCGGAGCTCTCGGAGTTTGAACCTGACCCTTGGCCATATTCTTCTACGATTGGGGGCGTATTTCTCCCTTCACTTTTGCCATTTTTGCTCAGTCGTTGTTTGATTCGGGAGATAAGGGCATCCGATTCGTCGCTGTCCTCTTCCTTCATTCCTTTCCTCCGTACCTCAAGGTTCGCTCTCTCCATCGACGGCCTGTCTAGCCAGCTGCGTGTTCTGCGCAATGTCCGGTTTCCTTTCACGTCAGGGTCATTCTCAGAACGAGGCCGGTCGGCGGAAGTTGCGTCATGGCCCGCCCCGTGTCTCATGATGACTCCCTCAGGATTCCCTGAGGGAGCAGGAGCGTTCTCGGGGATGGAAGGAGAAGGGGCGCGTTCCCGGTCCGCCCTGAACACATCCAGCACACTGCGTTTCTCTGCCGTCCTCTCCTGCCGCCTCCGCCTCAAGCTAGCGTACCTTTCAAAGGTCGCCTCGGGCTTCTTAGACTCGGCGGCCGAACTATCCGAGTCCATAAGAAAGTCGAGAATGGAGTCATCGTCTTCGCTTGCGTAGCTGCGTCGGTTACGTTTCTGAGACAGCGAGTCGGGGGTGGGGGAGGGGCCCTCCCCTGGGCTATCCGCGGACGAATCTCCACTACCCCCACTCCGCACCTTCTTCCGCTGGCTCAGTCGCCCATACCCGCCGCGAACAAACGTGCCGGCCGGATTCTCCCCTCCACCGACAGGACCCTCCTTCATCCCGGAAGAAGCGTCCCCCGTGCCCAGGGAGATGGCGCCAGCAGCGGCGTCCGTTGGGCTGAGGTTGACCTTGGTGACCTTTGTGACGGAGAAGCTCCCATCGTTGAACTTGCGTGAGGCGAAACCGCTGCGCACGTCAGCGAGAAGCATGTCCACGATTGAGCCCTCCTCTTCCTCGTTAGATGCCCGGTCCATGCTCTGGTCACTGGGCTCCGACACATCTTCTGGGGACAAGAGGAAGATAAATACGTGAGGCTGTTGTCCAGTGATAATGATAATTATAATTATGATGATGATAATAAAAATTAGCAAAAATTATAATAATAATACACGTAGTCGTAATGATGAAAATAATAATGGTGCCAATAGTAATAAA